CATTGTATTTAAAACAATCTTTGCCTTTGTCAGATCAGTAGCAGTACATTCTATGAATACATTCTTTGTCTCCAGAGTGATTGCTGAATGTGCACCATTAATAATTGGGGGTAAAGATAAAACAGTCCTGCCAAAACCTTATAGTATATTAATTGTTGAATTCAACAACGGCATTTTAGAAGAACATTACAGCAAAATGAAGGTCAAGTTCCAGTAGAGTGCAATTCACAAAATGCACAATTAACAGAAAATAGACCAAAAGCAATATTTAAAAGAATTTCAGCAAGTTAACATGGTAAAAATTTAGTGGGAAACTGGGAAAGCATCTCATTGAAGAAAGCATGAAAGTTCTTTTCAGTTAATGCATCCATAAAATGGATAATGTGCACATAAGTGTTTGAGTCAGGTGTTAATATCAAAGTTATGTTGAAAAATTTACAGCATCTTTACATTGCATACAAGTATATTTTATGCTCAAATCCTGTCAGTTTAATTTTTAGAATTAGAATTTCAACATATAGGATGTCTAAATAAAAAAGAGACTGCCAACAGATTGATGAATTGATCACACTTCAAACTGTAATTTTTTTATTATGCTGAGTTGATGACAGAACTTTTATCATTATAATTATTCCTTAAAACATTTTTTTCCCCACAAAGATATAACTTCTTGCTGAATTTTATACTTAACTTCGAGGGTGAGCCTTTGAATAACAGTATAGTTACTGCTTTGTGATCCCAACCTTGGAAGCAGCTGGTGGGGGTAAGTCTACATATATATACCCTCCCCCAAACGCTCTACTTGGTGGGAAGCCTCCTCGGGTTGCCAACCCCCATCCTAGTGTAATATGTAATATGAACAAGAAATATAACATGCACAAATAATTTTAATTCTTTTAATTATAATTGTTAAATTTATATTTTAAAAACTACACAAATTATCCTGAGCAAAAAAAATACTACCTAGTGAGTTCTACAAGACTAATGCAAACAAGAGACAAAAGATTTCAAACAGCAGGACAATAATCTTTCAAAGCATAACACAAATGAGAGATAAAGATTTCAAAAAGTTGAAAATTCAAATACCAGGATACTATAAAAATATAATACCTCTTACTGTCATATAAAACAGGGAAAACAGGGGAGTCCTCAATTATATGCAAGAATTTCTTCAATTTCAAATCTGACTGTCAAACAAAATAACAAGTATTTAGACACATCTCAAAGTTAGGATATTCAAACAAAAAGATAATCATATATCCAAAAAAAGACAGCCAACAATAACACGCAAGCCTACTTGTGGCATACAAAAAATAGCACAAATATACTCACTTTGTAGAACTCCATTAGCTCATCAGCCCTGAAGTTCCTTTCCTATCATGCCAAAAGCACATTTATAAGATTAAAAAACCAAAGATGAATTTGGCAATTCACATTGAAAATTCAAAGACCAGTAAATAATGATATCTGTAGAGTATTGAGTGAGAGAATATATGTTGAATTGTGTGCTTTTGTACTAAACAAAGTTGTAGCAGCACCTGATTTCAACAAGAAATTGAATCTCACAAATAAATGTTACCTGCTTTAATGGCGTAAAGTTTATACTCGAAGGTGGTAAAGCCTGGAAAATTACATATGACTGATGTCACTAATACTGATGATGTACAGAATTAAAGATAATTAAATTACACAAGAAAATGGTCATTAACTCTAAGATCTCTTTTGTTAATTGGTTTTGGAAAAATTCAGATATACAGTTTGGGTCATAAACAACAGTACATCACATCAGGCAGCATTGTGCTTTTTTTGATACCTCTAGCTTTAGAGTCAAAGCACAGTGACATGTCAATCATTTCAAATAAACAGCACCATGAAACAAACAATGGAACAAAATTTCCACCACTGTAGTCCTCATATTAATTCAGTAAAAGATTTGCTTATCCCCCCAACTTTATAATTTTTTATCGAAGACAATGCAAACTAACAATCATAGTTTCATTCCATCACAAGAAACAAATCGCCTTAAAATACTCTCTTCATAAAATACACGTGATTTCAAGCCTAAGGCCGCTCCCCAAGAAAGCCAATCCAGAGCTGGATGTCTCACAATCAACCAAAGTGCCCAGGCAACAACTTCCTTTCCTAGGAGCATTAGGCTTTAGGCTTCCCACTTCCTTAAACACAGCACCCAAATGTCTATCTAATCTTAAATTTGTAAGTTATCTATCCACAATTCAAATAATTCTTATTTTCATGCTCTAAAATTTGATAAAAATAAATAAATAAATAAACCTCATAAGTAAAAGGGCCCTGCAATTTATCCAGATCATGAGTGCCAATGGCAACAAGAGTTCTTCGGCTGAAATAAGAAAAGAATGAAAACAAATTAAATGAAAATCATTCAGAAAATTAAGAATGATGTGACATGAGATGACCAAAAGTAACATAAAGATAAACTGATGGATAAAAAACATAATTTAGAAAAAGAACAGCATAATGTGGAAATAAAGGTAAACCATAACCTACCAGCACAATGGGTTTTCCAATTTTTCTATGAGATATAGCAAAGCAAAAGATTCAAAAAATAATATAGTATAACCAAACTCATCTTAGAACAAGGAAGATTTATTCATATCCTAAAACTTATGCAAGTATTTTATCAAAAACTCGGTAACAAGAACCACATTTGGACTGCATTCAAGCTATTATGGTTCGAATTCAGAAAGACAGAAACTAGTATGCAGGTCAAAACAAATAAAGCAGTGAGTCAAATCACATTACCGACATATGTTTTGGTGAAGCTTGTCTTGGAGATCAATAAAGCTGTTGTATCTTACTTTATCAAAAGTTACACCTCTTAATACAGCACATACAACATACGGACGAATCAGAGAAGTCTACAATAATCAAAGAGCAAAGAAACACGTCATTTTCCACTTGGCAAAGACCCACGCTAAGTAAAAGCACAAGAATTACATTACATAATTACCTCTGGCTTCACATGCATTTTAAGCATTGCATCCTTACTAATGTTGGACAATCTGTAAGTGGGGATCTCCTGGAACCCACAGAAAACTCGGAGTGCTTGAGCAAGCCCTTCAAGGCACAGGAGGTCATATCTAGGCAAAACCATTTTTTGCATAAAGGAAAATGACATTTGTCAAAAATAAATTATGATTGGTTTTACGAATGGTGACAAGGTGTAAAGCCATGCTTTGAATGGTTATACTATATGCTTAACCGCTACATAGTTTTAAAATTCAGTGAATTTTCAATTGCAATGAGAGAATGGTGCAGCATATCATTCATTATGACTTTTATAACTTTGTTTTTTGTACAATATAGATATAGATTCTTCTTAACAACATGCTTGAATTTTGTTATCAATCTCCAACTAAAGTATATACAGAGCCTAAAACCACATTTTCTTAATTCCCACATTTTCTTATCGAAGATATCACGGTGGTACCTGTTGGCGGGAATTTCGATTTTGTAGATAACTTCTTCGTCGTCATCAGCTTCTTCTTCCTCCAAATGCTTCTCTTTTCTCACAATTGCCTTCTCCGTTGTCTGATAGAATCACACTGAACTCATCAGACGGTGCTGATAATAATTGCTACTATTTTACAAATTACTGATTAAAAACGACAGTGGTTGAGGGTGAAGTGCTTACGACGTCGTCGAGCTCGATCCCGAAACTGAAGCACAAGTCTTCGAATTCCTCTTGCGCTGAAGAACGAAAAAGGTAACAAAAAACGGGTGATTCAGGGAGGTGGTTGTGAAAAATGATGGATATGATAACAGAGAATGAGAAATGGAGGCTCACTGTAAGTCTTTCCTAGAGCCGCAAACAGGCGATCCCGCCCCACGCTGATGGTAGGCATGGCGCCGTTTTGGTTTCGGAGTGAGTCACTGCAACCACGACGGAGAAACAAAGAGATGTTCGGAATCCCAAGCCTTGGCTTAGGTATATTTATATGGGCCGTATCTCCTTTTCAGGTCCACTGGATTGGGCCGATATTATAGGCCTAGTACGAGCCTGGGTATGACTGAATTTGGGCTTCTTTGTTAGCAGCAAAGAGTGACGCCATTGCCGTAGCGTGTACCAATGATCAATGATAATAATAAAAAGAAGGTTATGTACCAAGGGGGTTTACCTTGATCATGGTGCGTTTACCGTGTTTGATTTTTATCGATAAAAAAAAAAAAAAAAGTTTTATCACTTTCAACAATGTAAATTATGTAATTGGTAATCGGTAATTTAAACAATATATGATCACCATTTCAAATTATTATGCGCAAGAATCTATTGTAACTCGTAAGGATTAAGGATTGTTTAGTTTCATATTGGGTTGCATTTGTTTTAAAAAAAAATACCACAGTTTAATTTTATTTAGGTTAATCATATAATTTAGGTCTTATACATGTTATAAATTCTTAATTTGATCTTTATATATAAAAACTTGTTAAATTCATCTTTCTATACATAAACATTATCAATTTAATCCATGTCACCTTTAAAAAATAATTTTTTTATGTATCCTTAATTTGATATTAATATATGCAACATTAATTTGATCTCGATATATAAAGATTAAATTAAGCGTGTATGAACCAAATTAAAAATGTGTTAAAAATAAATTAAGAATATATAATAGGAATTAAAATAATAATAAGTTCGTGAGTAAGTACCAATTTAATAATTTTTTTCATAGGGGAACAAATTTAGAAACTAAAACACGTATATGCACTAAAGTATATGTTGAATATTTTATTTATTATCTTGAATCTCTATCATTTGGAATGATAGCCACCGATATTTATTTCACATCATTTTACTTTTATCCTTCCCTTAGTGTGATAATCAATAATAAAATTTGGTTAACAGAGTGGTAATGATCAATAATCGCAATTGAATGATCGTCATTCATGAAATGCTAATGCGGGATATTTTATGTGTTGTGATGATGAGGGTGTCAGATTCAGAGTAAAGCATAAACTAACAGGGATGAATAGTTTGTTTTATTTTTTATTTATTAAATTTAAAGTTGGCCACATAGAAATACTATATGATAGTAGAAATGGGAATATAGGAAGCCTGCATTGAGCCAGAGTAGATTGTCCCATTATGCTCATGAATCTCACTCGCTGCCTCACTTCCAAACTCCTGAATAAGAGACATAATACGCAAAATCAGACCGTTCTCACTAACCCTCACTCCTCCAGGTATAATAGCAGGTCTACGAGGTGGACTTGGTCCTATTAAACCGTTCACTGCCACCAAAAACTCACCTCTAGGGTTCCTCCAAATGTTATCAGGCCTACCCGTAAGTTGCAAGAATAGGTCAGATGAATTTGCCCTTGGCCCTTTAAGCCAGAATCTCTGAATTCTGTTAGCCAAATATTCACTTACAAGAACAAATGACCCATCTCTACTCACTGCCACACCAGATGCCAAAGCAAGGCCCCTCATCAACACTCTTGTTTCGTTTGTGCTTGGGTCTAATGAGTATAAGCTCCCAGACATATCTCTGCTTCCTCGCAGTGCCTCAATATCCCTGCAAAAATTACATCTCACATTTATTAGTTTACTACATTACTAAATGTTTGATCATACATAACTTACTCTCATTATATGTCACATGAAATTAGCGGAACCATATACACCACGTAGTATTTCTTTTTTAATATATACACCACAAGTATTATTTGATAAAGACAATCCAATTCAAGTAGGATAGAATCAATAAAGTTCTTCTTTCATGTATTTAACACGTGTAAACTCAAATCTTAAACCAAAGACTATCGATTGATCCATATCAAATAGTTTTGAACTATATGTAATAAATAACTGGTATTTGCATGCAAGAAAACAAGGTAAGGTAGGGGTTAATTACTTGAAACGATAGTTGGAGCTAGCTTCGGTGTAATAAACGATTCCGGTGTTGACGTCTATGTCCAAGCCATCGAGAAATGGAAAAGTGGTGCTATTCTCTTTCTCTTGTGGATGGATACCTTGAGAATATTGGGTTGGAGCCCCTCCATTAGGGCCGATCTTGATAAGCCCAAAATAAGCATCTGCTACGTACAGTTCACCTGTTTGATGGTTGAAACGTAACCCTAAGGGCCTCCCACATGTTGCTTGAAGTTCTGAGAAATCAGTAAGCCCATCGCAGATTGTCTTGTTCCTGCATGGACCAACAAAATAACATAAGTTAGTTAAATCATTATGATAAGTAAGTGCTAAGTTGACGTAATGATTAAGTATTCTATCCTCATATAATATTGTAGGGACGATTTATTTAATAAGTCTTATGCATGAAAACATGTTAGATTAGCAATAACCACAGTATTGAGTGAGACTAGTTTGATAGTCTTCATCAGTGGAATATAGGATATAAACCTGTGAAAAAAATAATAAAAAAATAAGTGTGCATAAGCATATGATGTGATTATTATTCATGTTTACCTGTTAGGTGAAGTGTAAGCATATTCCTTGAATCCCTCGGCTGGACCAACGTATTTAAGAATTCTTCCATCAGAAACACTAACATATGGACCTCCACCGTTTCGGTCAAATGCTACAGACTCAGGACCCATCACTGGTGATGGTAGTTGCAACCTGGTGAGTAATATAGCTACTGATGGCGAGCACAAAAGGAATAGCAATAAAGTTGCACACATAGCCATTGTCGACATTGCAAGGTTTGGTGACAACATATTGTTAATACTCAATAATGTTTTGATGTAAGATACAAAACTTAAGGATTTAGTGATCATATTTATAGGCATATCTAAATGCCATGCAACGCAAAATATGCAAAGAAAACGTGAAAGAACCCAACCTCTTGTAAAAACCTCGTGACATGCACACAACTAAGCAAGCCTACCTGATAATTAGAAACGTTTAGTTTGTTGCGAGTATGGGGAATGTAAATGTTAAAGCTTGTTGCGAGTATGGGGAATGAAAATGTTAAGCATCGATTAAAGAAAGTAGAGATGGTCGGTTTCGTATGTTGCAGATTCTTAAAACCTTGAAACTTGCGCGTCAACCAGCTTTGTCAAGTGTTGTAACTCATGAAAAATGCTATTCTTGTTACAACTCTCACTCCATAGCATGATTTGATCTTCGATCTTCTTGACTTCTTCCATGTGCCTCACAGGACGCGCAATCTCCTTATGTTTATTTTAACTTATTTTGTAAAGGTAATTATTTTCTTTTACCAATTTATATTTAATTATTTAAATATAACGTCATTTCTCCATAAATAAGTCTGACTAATTTGAATTTTAATTATGATAGCAAAACTAACTACATCTTTAAATATAATATTTTTGTTTATAAATTTGTAAAATAAGAATTCAATTAATTTTAAAATTCACTCTATTTTAATATTATGCATATAAAAATCTATTCAAACTTTAAGATTATCAAATAACATGTATATTGAACTATCAAATTAAGTTTGATTTGATAACCGGATGGAATCTTAATAAAAATGACCTAATTAAAAATAAACTATTTTGTTTTAACTTATATAATTTGATATGTCAAATGATCTTAGATCAAACTGATTTGATAGAAAAATAAAAAAATAATTTAGTAATAATAATTATTAAAATACATAAATCAAAATATAATATATTAAAATGTAAATTTTGAGTGTAATATTTTTCTTTCTTTTTGTCATTTATGAAAAAAAATACCAAAAAAAAGAAGTAAAATAAGTTAAATTTTGCTCTTGATTTGATTGATGTAATATGTAACTATCTCTCTCTACACACATATATATAACTTTTCTTTATCTTGTTTATTATAATTTATTTATTTTTATCATTTCTTTTATGAATAGAACAATTGTTTCTCAACTTTCTAAATTCAAAACATTTAAATTTTTACTAAAGTAAACAAATAATAATAAATGTTAACCAGTTAAAAAAAACAAAAAATAATAATTTTTTTATATATATAAAATCATTTTAAATTTTTTTTCTTTCAATTAAGGTCAATTTAGTCAATGACTTGATGATCTGACATGGGTTAAATTGAAGAAAAAAAAAATTAATGAAGCAAAAGTAATTTAGATCAACCTACTAGTCTAAAATCATCATTTGATCCATGGAATAGAACTGAGTCGAGAGACTTGACCCATTTGACAACTCTACATGTATATACATATAAAATGACATATTTGTGTAAATATAAGAATCTAGATAATTTTAAAATTCATTAATTTTATTTTTTGCACATGAAAACTTAGCTTAAACTTTAAGGTTATCATGAAATGACATCTTATCTACAAAATATTAATGTTGTGTATCCAAAATGCTTTAATAAATTATGTAAACATGTGAAAGTTCATTTGAACCAAACTAATGTAAAGAGATCAGATAGTATATACAAAATGTTAGGATATTTTGAATTTATTTTTTTATTTATATTTTTTAAAGCTTGTTTTCATTCGTAAACTTATAAGATTTTTTAATACTACTCTACCCAAGATGAAATAAATTATATTGAAAGAAAAATATCCACTTTATGTGTAATTACACTCTTAAACGGTAGATATTTTGTACCAATACCATGATTATAAAAAAAACTTATAAGATTTAGAAAACATGTTTTGAAAACTTATTTCCTATTTTCAAAAATGAAAAAATTAAATATATGTTTAGTTTTAGTTTTATGCATAAGAAAGATTGCAAAGACGCAATAAAGATCGAATTTAGTGTTTATAAACATATGTTTAGTTAAACTTAAAAAAATAAAAATATTTTTATTATATATTTTGAAACAAATTTTTGATAGTAAAATATATTTATATATATATATATATATATATATTATAAATAACTTTTGCCCCTATATTTATTAATAATATACATAAAATATTTGATGTTCATAAATTATAACATAGTAGTATTTTAACTTGTGGATTAAGTAAATAAAATGTTTACTCTATATAACTAAAACTTATAATAAATTATATATAAATAAAAATTATATTGAAATATATAAATCATATTATATTTAAATTTTCTATAAATAAATATTTTTTAACACATACATTATATTTTAGATTTATGATAAATTGTGACTTGATTTTTTAATTATTAATAATTTATTTTTTAAAAACTTTAAAATTTAATAAAAATAAATTTGATAAAATATTTAAAAGTTTAAAAAATATATTAAAATTATTTTATTGGAAATAAAAAAAAACTAAAAATAAATTCATTAACCTAAAAGCTCTTTCTGAATGTTAAGCTATAAAAGAAAGAAAGAAAAAAAAAACCCTGCATAACGAGTACAGGGACAATGGGATGACTTATTCGAAAAGTTGATAAACAAAAAACTATTATAATTATGATTTATGCAATCACATTTTCACACAGTTGTTTTAATTGTTAGAAAATATCGAAATTAATTTTTTTTTCAATTCGAAAATGTTTATTTTATTATTTTGATGGTTTAAGTTGTTATTTTGTTGTTGCCTTTATATATTCAAAACATTAAGAAAAATAAACTACAAAAGAGCAGAATTCGCATTATGTATCATCAATTAATTTTCTTATTTTAATATTTATGTTTATATGGAAAAATGATATTTTGCACTTACCTTTCTGACTTGATCACGATGGATAAACTACATTTTATTTTTTTTTAAGAGAGAAAAACTACAATCTATCTACTCCTTAAATTCTTAGGTTTTTAAAGTTCCTGAATACGTAAAAGAATTCTTAATTTTGCTAGTTGTTTTGCCCAAAGAACTTTCACACCTCGTGTGTCTTTGCCGTCGTAGACTATTTGTGACCAATTAAAATCGTTTTTTTTTTCATTTTGACCTGCTACAAGATATAACTTGCTCAAAATTTTTAAAACATGCAATGGTAAATAGGTAACTCTATTAAATTCATTTATTAGATATACAAAAAATACATACAACTATAGAAAATATGAGATATTCTCACTACTTCTGTATAAAACTATACTTCAATCATGCCACACAAGTATGAAATAAAATTAAAAAACTAAAGAATGTAAAATCATTAACCCACATGCCACAACGAACATATCAAATGTCAATTTGTTTAAATTTTTAAAAATGATTCTAAAATAAGTAATTTTTGAAAAAATAGATAATAATTACTTCTTTTAAAAAATAAACATTTTAAAGAATGAAGTTTAAACAAACACAAAAAAAAATCAAAAACTGCTTATTTAAAAAACAAAAATCAATAAACAAACAAACCCAAATCAGGGTAACTCTGTGACCACATGGCACATGGGCAACAACAGAAATCTGCTCCATGTTATTATAATTATAGACCATTTCAGATTTGAAAAAGGAGAGGTATCCTACACGTTGCAGTTACCAGCCACACTCATGGAGCATCTGGTTTTTCATATATCTCATTCTCAAATGCAAATTAAACATCAATTTTAATTGTTAACAGTTGTTGACTTCTCCACTGACTTAACACACATATGTCCAATGTTTTTTATTCTACTCTGTTGCAGGTTTGTAAAAATATATTTCTATCTTAAATGGATGAAATAGAAATTTTGGATCAAAATAATCACGATGGTGCAAAAAACCTCCACCAACTTGCTTCTCTGTACTGTGGCGCTAAAGCAGTATTTGAGTTTATACTAAATAATGAGTTCGCGGCACTTCATTTGGTTCTTTGCTCTTTGAAAAATAAAACTACAAATATAGGCACAGGTTCCTGCCTAAGTTAATTAAGCTGGAGCAAACAGTACAAATACATGTGTGCTTGTTTCAAAAAAGTGAAGCTGTAACCTCAGAAACTTCTGATACAACTTGATCATAATCTGACTTTAGCTTCTCTTGTTCCCCTTGTTCTATTTCACCCTTTGCAGGCTTTGTCGTTACCAGAACACAGCAAGTAGGCCTCTTCGTTGCTCCTGCGCCTGCAAGCTCCTGGGAAACAATATAAATAACAACGACATATGAGCTTGCATAGTAATTGTAGTTTCTTGAACACAATATATAAAGTAGCATGAAGATAAAAAACCAACAATTTTAGAACAATATTGATAGGGACTTCGACATTATTGGGTGCCTGAATATCTAATATTGAGTAGTATGAGATGCTTGTTAGAGTACTAAAAGGTGGCTTAGTTCTTCTCCCTAAACAGCTAGCATTTAAGGGAGTATTCTCCACATGTTTCTCCTACTCTTACTCCCACATTCAAAGTGAAATGATAATGACAAATTGTGTAGGTTGCAGAAGTAAAAAAGAATAGTAAAGTCAGTACTTATGGAATAAGGTTTGTGATACAAGGTTGAGATCAGTTGAAAATATGCAGGGGCAACTAATAAGATCCTTTTTGCTCCATAAATTGAGCTAAAAGAGGTTTGTTCTTATTATGCAGTTTTTGGGGCTGGATGATGAATTTTCAGAAGGAGAGATTGATGGCATTGAATTGATTACAGGAGAAGTGTGTAAAAAATAAACAAAAAAATGAAGAAGGTGAGTTGTGTATTGGTACTTCTTTGGAAGGGACATATATGTATGGAATGTCAGCCTCTTCACAGAGGATAGGAACATGTGTGATGACATCAATGGGTGATATGTTCCCAGCTATGACACACAACCTGCAATGAAAAGGGCACAAAATTAGGGTTTGCAGAGTGAAAAAGAAGTGAAGAGAATGAGAAAACAGACCCTTTTTGACCTCTCCGTATACTCTTAACGACCTCCTTGACTCCTCTCTTTAAGCATTTGTGTTGAGAAGCTGAAAGAAAGAGTATATATAGTTAAGAAGAGGAAGAAGAAGAAGAATAAGAAGAAGAAGAAAAAGAGAGGTAACAAACCTCTACGAACAAGTTTAAGGGTTCGCTTGCAAAGCTTCTTGCCGGCGAGGGGTTTAGCAATGGGAGACAGCGCCAATATCTTCTTTTCCTTCTCTTTCTGCGCCGACTTCTCTGCCTCGCTGTCGCTCCCCATCTCTCTCTCTGCTCTCAATTCGGAAACGAAGAACCTTCAAAAACCCTCTTTCTGGCTAACTAGGGTTTTATTCAGGATTCAGGTTTAGACTTACCAAATGTTTACTCTGGCTAATACGGGTAACAAAAAATGATTATTCAGTAAGACCCAGCATCGTATTGGGCTTACAATATGGGCCTTATATAATGGACGGGGATAGCTGTTCACACTCCCTTTTAATAATTAAACCTCCACTTTTTAAAATTTGTAAGTAGACTATGGTCTACGGACATTAACCAATCACACGTGATGAAGAAAAATAAAAAGCTGAAATGTAATAGATTAATGATTAATGATAAATGCAAAACAGTTTTGTTGGAAACATGTTCAGTTTATGCAAATTGTCCAGCATGATCCCATAGATGGCAAAGTCAAACTCTATAGCGTGTTTAAATTAAATTTAAGGTTAAAAAAGAATAATAGAATTTAAAACATTTTGATAAATATTATTTTCTTAAAAAATAGTTTTCAAATATATCTTATCAGAATTTTCCAACTACTTAATAAATTTGGGTTAAAATGTTAAATAAAAAAAAAAACCCTTCAAAGTTCTTAGAAAAATCAAGTACAATGCAAATTAATAAATGGTAGATATATTTTTTCTAACAATAATTTATTTTTACGATAAAAATGCTGTAATAATATTAAATATTATATTATAATTGAAATTGTATACCTTTAATTGCGTAACGATTATATATGACTCAACTACATGCATTAGGCTCGTTTCTTTTTTCATAAACCCTTATAGTAGGAGAAAACAAGAAAGAAAAATTAAATTTCTCTCATAAATTAAAATTAATTTTTGCATAAATTAAGATTAACTGATTAAGTAAACTTATTTTTATCTCTCAAATTTAAATGTGATTCTTTATTCTGTGTAATTTGAAAAACTTATCTATTAGTGTCCTTAGTTAAAACATTATATCAAGTCTGCTGATAATGCTACACACCTGACTCAACTTGCCTGTGCATGATTGAGAAGCAAATATTTTTTTCTTTTTACCTTCAAATAATATAGTCTAAATTTGGAGAAAAAGAGCAAAATTATCCCAAATTTGAGGGAAGAAAGATGTATTTAAGCCTATTTTTAATTTTTGAAAAATTTTGTATCATATTTTTTTTTTCCATTAGTATTTCTGGACAGAGAGCCTATATTTGTTTTGGATTCAAGTGACCATAAAAAATGTAAACATATCGTAATCCCAAGACTATTTCGGACGAAGAAAAACTTTCTTCCTTCTTACAAGCGTAGAGCAAGCCGCTAAAACAATCAATTTATCACATATATATATCACATTCGTCATAAATGAAATATTCACGAGAAAAGCCAGCGAGAATAAAGAGCATATTATAATATATGCAAGTTCAGTATTCCACCAAGTGGACGAATTATTTAACAAGTAAAAAGATATACAGAAGCTTATTATATACTACGCAACTCTATACTACATCTTTAGTGAATGCTAAAATATACCATCAGCCCATTAAGGTCGTCCACTACTACTTGATGTGAGGCAGTCCCTCACTGATAGTAATTATTTTCAGAAACCTTAGGATTTTATAATATATATACACACTAATGAGGTTTCTCTCATAAATATTGATGATAATTGACAAGAAATTATAAATATGTTTGGATACAAATTAGAAACTTTTTAAAAAAAATTTTTTTACTGAAAATAAACAGTTATTTTCAGTTGAGAAAGTGTAAAGTTTGTATCCAACCAAATTCTCTCAATATATATATACGTTTACTTTTGGGATGTCAAACCTCTGAACAAAAACACACCAACAGCACCAAGGGCGAGAGTCAGAACCAGGGGGATGGCAACGGATTCAGGTTCACGCATTCTGCCTGTCTGGTCTGGTCTATCCAGGCGTGACCTTTCTCCAAAGTATTCATGCAAAAGATTGCTCAGGGTGTCAAGTTGATGCATGATTTGACGTTGTCCTCGAGCAATAACTAATACCTATTTTTAGAAAAAATAATAATAAGGTACTGAAAATGTTTGACCAGGTCACTTCAAATCTAAAATTTGTTTCCCCAAGTGACAGAAATCACATTCCTGTGTCCTAGCATCTAAGTCTTGTTTACAAGCATGTTGTTCCCATTTTACAAGAATTTTCAACAAAGGGACCATCAAGATTGCTCAACTCAACAGATTATGCAAATGGGTAAATAACATTAATCTTCGTTAAATTATTCCTAACTACTTGGATTTTCGAGATTATAAATTAGAGTTAATCATCCATACACTGTTAGTGTAAAGTTTTTTATACTGACAACCAATCAAATTTTTTAAATTATTTTTTTATTTTATTTTTATTTCATTAAATAAGCAACTGACATGATACTATTAAAAGATATGATTGGTTGCCAGTGTAAAATTTTTTTACATTAACAGTGTATGTATAGGTGATTAACTCTATAAATTATTGTATTTCTCATTTAGTAGTTCCTACTTCATTTCTTGACATTTGTAAGGGTACATGTCGACAAAGCCCTATACAAATTTATCATTATCTTTACTCATTTAGAGTTCCCTCATGTTATGTTTATCTCACGTGAGATAATGCATCTCTACAATCAGCAGACACATAGGATATATGTGTGATTTACTGCACTATGTCATTAAGGGTACATGTCATGCATATATAGTATAGACACATAGGATATAGTATATATCTCAACATAGTACATAGTATGCATATGCATATACAATTATACAGGATAGACGTATACGTGCTGTGAATTTGAAATCCAGGGGATACACATCACCTACCTCTTCCATCAGGGGAGACTCTTTAGCCAATTGAGAAGACGATGAAGAATTAGGTAGCAGTGATCCAGTCAATGAACCATTGCTTAATCCAGTTACAAAGAAAGAAGTGGGGCCTGAGCCATTGCAGGCCTCAGCCTGTACAGCCAAGTTTTGTTGACTGGCTGAAACTTTTGGAATAGCAAACTTTGAATTCAGCTCTTCAATTCGGGAGGTGAATTCATCCATTCTTTCATTTAATGTGGAAATTTGATCAGAAAGTTGAGTAATGACTCCCTGGACAACTCAAGCAAATATCAGTAGATGAATCATTTAGATGGGTAGAAAAATAAACAGAAAATTAAACCTCTGGTCGACAGATATTAATTATAGCACCTTCTCACTATGCCAAAAAATTATGTAAATATAATTGAAACGGTATGAAGATTTTTTACACTATCGTCCAATAAAAAATTGTCATAATATAATAAATTTATGGACTTTTATAAAAATTATTTTAAAGTTGTAAATATGATGATTTGTTATTGGTTGACATTTTATAATGTCATAGCATAACCATTAAATTCAATATAAATTTTGCAAAATTTTAATATAATCTTGTTTTTACATCCTCACTGAAATTTTTAGCCAATATGCAGTAAAAATGTATATCATTATTCTTTTCAACATTTCTATACTCGACTAGTAGCTTTTCCACGATCTACAAAATAAGGTATAGTAGGTGATGCATTGATGAATGAAGAGGCCAAAATGATGGTAATTGTAAACTTTTCCAGGCAAATATATCTTACTTGGTTAGCAATAGGTGCAGGTGATTCTAGCGCCCTTCCATCGAATCTTCTGTTATTTATAGCAAGTTTAGTCAGCTTAGGTAGAATCTTGTCCCTTTGAGTTGAATATGACTGTGAAATACCACTGCAGAAGATAAACATGAGAAAAACATCACAAGAACCTTGCTTTAACAATTTTTTAATCAGATCCAGAAATTCTTATCCCATATATGAAAAGGAAATAGAAGACATATCAATATTCTTTTTAAGGCAAGTCAAATAGGTAATGAAAATTATTAAGTACCGATTGAGATGCTTCATTCTTCTATCTGCAGAAGCTCTGGAAAGGGCCTCTTTGGGACTTGAAACAAAGTCATCATCTATGCTGAGTTTTGTCTTAAGATCATCTGGCAATGCCTGCAGTTTCATCAGACCAGTGATTCAGTGTACAACCATGTAAACCACAAGCAAAAGGTGGTATGATGGCTCATACCATCACATCGTTTACAAGCTTTTCTAGCTGAATTTGTTCAATGTAAGTGCGAGGAACATAGGAACCATCCATCCCCAGTTTCTCTGCTACAAATTTGCAGTCGTTTCTGTCTTTACCTTGCACCTTCAAAACAACATGAACAATTATTTAATTACTGACAACAAAAGAAACAAATACAAATGCATAATATAGGTATGGGCATTTTGTCACAAACTCCATGGACCACCCAGGCCAAGCCTAAAACTTTTTGGAATTAAATAAGGGTAGATTAAAGCTACTTATCACATAATCAACAAGTTACAAACATAGAAACATGTAAGGGAAAGATATAAACGATATGCTGTTATACCTGAACATATGTGCGATTAAGTTGTTCTAGCCAATCAGTTTTTATGGTCACTTTATCATCATGAAAGACATGGCTGCTTCTTTTCAGGATAGCTGCAATTGTGTATCCCAAGGCCATCAGGCCTCCGAGAAGGCGCACGCTGACCTCAAACGTAATTCTAGGTGATATTATGAATGGACTATCTGTCACCCATTCCTGAAAACAAGAATGCACTATCATTATAATAGAGGTTTCCGGTAATTTTGCTTCTAGATGCAAACTTTTCAGCAAATCTGAAACTCAAGATGGTAGAAAGGATGTTGGGATATAAGATCTGCCAACCCGTGAACTCGAAAACTACGATATCACTTCTATCCTCCATTGTGAAACACAGGTTTTTCAAATATTTGCCAGACTTCTTGAAACAAACCGCACGTTTTTCTATCCAACACTTTTTAGAGTTAGATATGTATACACACAAAGTGACACACACAACCATAGAGATAAAACAAAAATGAGAGATAAGAACATAGGAAAAAACATCAACCAACGAAAGAGGTTTTAGACAAACAACGTACTGAAGGCAGTAAATGGAAAACGTGTAGAAGTAGATGTTTGATTAATTACTAGGACACAAAGAAGTTGTTGTATTGTAGGTATGCACAAACACAAATAAAGTTTGAAAGTTGCAGCTTTTGAAAATTTTATTAGGTTTTTTTTTAAGTGGTTGTAACTATACAAGAGGTCAATTGCATTTAGGCTTCTTTTTCATTACAGCAGGTTCTTAATAAACGTTTAACTAAGTAAACAATATAATGAGACGAGCATTGGCATAAAATAAATGCATATTACCTAATTAGACAAAGGACGCATTTGGTGAATAGCTTAATTAAGCACATATTTTGTAAGAGCTTATTCATAAGTTTGACTACTAAGTCACTAAAATAAACTAAAAAGAACTTGTTTTCATAAGCTTTTCCATGATGCTTACTGAAGTTAAAAAATACTTACAGTAAGATCACAAGCATCTTTCATAAGTTCAAATAAGTTTTGTAAAAGTTCGTTCAGACCCCCAAAAATTTATGCCTTGCTAGACATTCTCTTCAAAAAATAACATAACAATGCAAAAAGTTTTCAATCACCTAACCTCAAACATGAGATTGTACTTTCCATCACGGTTTCTCATTCTCAAATATGATTGACAAGCTTCAGGGTCTTCCCCAGGGGGCAGTAGAAATATGTCATACGTTTCCTCTTTGGTTTCAGTATGCTCCGTAGCAATAACTGCCTTGATTTGATCAACTGTCACAACTCTTGTTGACTGAGATGGTAGAAACAATCAGCATAAACGTACCATTAAGAAGATTCTTGAAAATATAAAGAACCTTACTATGATAACATAGCATAGGGTCACCTTCAATATGTAGGTGGGATTTTGGAATCCAGAGAATGGATTAAACTTGTTAATAATTTTTATATGAGCTGTTTGGAGATCTGGCTCAATAAAAGCTTTATACATAGGATATACCTACAAAAGGAGACAAAATAATTGGTAAGAATGATAGCAAGTGCCTTAGTCTCACAGATGGAAGTTTGCAAAACTCCTAAAATAACAAGTCTAACATGGGATCAGTGAAAAACCGTTTCAGAAATTTGATGAATTATTTCTTCAGGCTCTTGACCAGCACGTTGAATATCCCGCAAAACACGCTTGACAAGGTCAAAATGAACTCCACCAGTGACAGAAACACGAAGATCAAGCAAAGGCCTTAATTTTTCACTTAAGGCATAAATGCCTTCTATGATTACAATACGAGAGCTAGGGACTTCAATAGTCCTATAAGGAAAATAGTACAAAAGAAATTAATAACATACAGATTTGGAATAATATAATGCTAGTTCTAGTGCTAATGCATGTCCATATTTACACATTTTGTCCCGCACCTCTTCTATCCACGCAATAGGCATTCCTGTGAACAAGTGGTTACATGTTACAATACAAA